AATAACTTAATAATCGTATTGAGATAATCTTAGTTCTACTTTCTTTAAAGTTACAAAAACTACCACAATCTAATCTGATCACTTCCAAATTGTTTTATTTTATTCTCTAAACATTTATTTTTTTTCACCAAACATCTTCAACAATTATTTAATATATTTATAATTTACTATGTGGTTTTGATCCCAACCACCAATTCTTTATAATACATTAAAATATTTACTTACTCTTATTATATTCAAAAATATTTTCATAAGGCTCTTCTTTTATTTCAAAGATATTTGTATCTAATAATTAAGTTTATACCTACGCTAACGTAAATTATACATAGATATATCCATGATTGTAATTTGTATAAGGAGAACTGCAAACAATCATAAAATCAAAGAACATGATCTAATGGAGATAAAGAATATGCTTCAAAAATAACTAATCAAAGTTTAGAAAATTTAATTAGAGCTGAAATGGTCCTAAAAATTTATTAAGAAAAAAAGAATATTCTTCAACAGATGAAGAATAATAAAATTAAATACAAAAAACAAACAATTCAAAGGTTGTGTGAATTCTAATTCACTTCTAATTTATTTATTGGCCAATTTATGCCTTTTTGTGAAAATAAGCTAAATGAGATATTCCATGACTGTATTCCTTTACCTTTTATTTTTAATTTTTTCCTTTTTCTTTACCTTTCATAGTTGATTCCCTGACCTCTTTGATTCAGTAAATATCCATGTTTTCCCAAGTTTTATCCCTATTGCTGAGTTTATTATTAATTTCCGAAACTGTATTCCTATCACTTCAAAGACCACTATAACTATTCTCTAAGACTTTAATCCCCTCATCCATAATTTTCCTTCACTTTTGCTTGGTAATGATATCAGACAGCTAGTAACCAGCCAAATTTAATATTTAATTCTCTCTTACAAATTCGTAAAATTCAGAATAATAAGTTATTGAATTTACAGTATTTCTTATTTTCTAAATAAACAACCTTTATCTACAAATTAAGACAAATGCCAATCATTATAATTGAAATATCATTTTTATTGATCCATCAACTATAAATTATACAAGATATTAATTCATTATATTAATTTAATATATAATTTTTATTTTTTATTTCAAATTTTATCATTCAAAAATAGATTTCTATAATTTAAATTCTCTCTATTTTGATATTTTAATAATTAAGTCCTTTGTTGTTTTATTATAGTTTGTGCTTAATCGAACTTTTTTTTACTTGACCACCAAATGAAATTATGTTAAACAAATAATCTTCTTGAAGGCTCTTCAAAAATACTATCAACACTTGTTTTGTTCTTTTAATTTTTTAGTGTCTCGTTGAAAGATTTCGATCAATAAAAAATAGAAAAATACCTCTTTATATTTATGTCTGTGAAGGTAAATTAAAACCATATATATAAGATTGATAAGCATCATCTATTGAAAATTCATTGAATTTTGAAATGAGATTTAAAGTAGTGCAATATTTAATATGTTGTAAAGCATCATTATTAGTACAAATATGTTGAATTTTTTACTATATGGCTAAGTATTGCACAAGGGTCATTAATATGTTTTGAGGAAAATAATAATTCAAACCTTTTATTAGGTTTGAAATTTTCTGGATCATCCATATCTAAGGAAATATATAACTGGTCTTATGGAGATTATAAACTAATTTATTTCTCTTTCATATTAATATCAGAATGAAACAATATCGAGTGTGTTGGAGACTTAACATATGTAATAGGTTTGCCCATAATTAATTTCATTGTCCAAATGTAAACGTTCTCGTTAATAAAAGAAAATAATTAAGCATACCCATCATCAGTATTTTATAATTCATTAATTGCTAAATAAGTTTTATCTATCATTGGTTACAATTCTAATTTCCAAAATTAATTAAGAAACACTTATAAAGGTTAGATGTATTCAAACTAAATTTTTAATGATTTACCAGGATTCAAACAACCAATTTTACTTTTTTTACATTTGGTATTTTTTAATCTTCTTCACAAAATGCCATAGTCTTTCCTTCTTATATTCCCTTTTTATAATCTTATTTTTCCTCCTCTAATTCTTTTACTATTCCAAATTCATATTGATCCATTTTTTATTCTTGTTGAATACATTTGATTTATTTCCACAACTGCTAAACCAGGTTATATAATAACAGTATATTAAGCCTATTATAATTAAACAGGTAATCCCGTTTTACTATTATAACAAATCATTATCAGAGGTGTTGACCTTTACATATCTCTGGTTTAACAATTATTTTACAGAACATCTAATTAAGGATTGAATATTAAGTTTTTATATTCTTAATAATAATGAAAATATCACATACTGAAGAATGATATTTAAATGTAAATCCATTGATATTTTTTCAGAATTTAATTATAAAAGAATAAAAATTATAAAAACTTAAAGGAAATTACATAATTTGAAAAAAGGAATATTTGTATATTATGCAAGGATGTGCTTATATATAATTCAAGGCATCGTAGTTTTTAGGAAAAAATAATGGCCTAATTTAAACGAATTATCATTATAATTACAATGAGAATTAAGATAATTAATAAATTTGAATCTAGATAAATCTCAAAAATTCTTATTCATAAAGTCTCTTTTTTTTATATAAATAATAATTTATTATTATGATATATGTAATAATAGATCTAATAAAATTAAAACATATTTGTTTCATTTTTTGTCAATTTTAACTGTATTTAAATTATTTACAAAAATTTAACCTTGAAACCATCATTTTTAATATAATAAATCAAAATATATATTTTTACATTCCACTTTTGTTAATGCTGTTGGATGAACGCTAAAAATGGTTTGAAATTCCAATATTTATTTGAACAATTCATAGATACTAAAAATATTATGTAAAAATATTAAACAATTCACCATTTATATTTGAATAATATCTAGCCAAAACTAACTCGATAAGATCTTATTGAAAATTTTAAATAGTCGCTCAAAAGCAAGTTGAGTATTAGTTATAGATATTATTATCCAATGACTGAAAATTAAATTAACTTTACACAATTATTAAGTCAGCTATTATTACTAATTATGAAGAAAATGAATAATTTTTCTCATATTCTATGACTTTGAGAATATTTAACTACATTAATAAAATATCATAAAGAATTATTTCTTCCTTATTTTTGCATACCATTCAAAGTTTATTCTATAAGAAGTGAACAAATTAACTCTGCTCAGCAAAGGATATGAGGCTACTCTAATATTTCAGCAGTCTAAAATCCGATAATCAAAGCATAAAATATATTCTCAGATTTATGACATTTAACTTTTACTTGAAATACAATAGTTAATTCAAATAATTATATTAATAAATAAATATCAAATTCTATTTGTTAGTAAAGGTATGAAAAAACTTTTGATGAAATAATGAGAGCCAATATATGCAGTTATTAGAGATTAAAAGTATATATTTTAGAGATCTTAATAATACGTATTAAATTGTTGAATATAAATAGATTAAAAGATAAATACGTAAGATTTTAGAAATTGGGAAACTAAAATCTACTGAGCTCTTAAATTATCATGTGTATTTATAATGAAAATTCTTGAAAATTAAAGAGAAAAAATCTACAACAGCAATACTCTTAAAGAAAAAATAAATTATGGTGTTTCATTAAGTACTTCTGAAAATTATCATAAAGTTAAATATTTAAAGTCAATAGTGAAATAATGTGATATGCAAAAGGCTAAAGATGTCAAGATCTTATCAATAGATGAAATCATTAATTTAAATTATTATCTATTTATCGTATTGTTATTTTTCAATACATTAATATATGTTCAAATAGTGTTATCTTGTATTATTGATAATCATTGCTTTAAAGATATCTAATTGCTATCACCTATCTGGATTGCTCTAGCAACATCCATTTTAAATTTTCTCATTAAACAGAAACTAAATGGAAATGGATGATGCTAGCTGTTCGGGATATGGTTTGTGGAATAGATACATTCCATTAAGTAACACATTTAAAATTGGATGAATTGGAATTCTAGATAGCAATTGCTTTCATTTACATTATGCATAAAATTAGAATACAAAGAGGATTAACTTAATATAATACGAATGTCTTACTTTACTCTAAAGAAATATCTATAATTTATAGATAATAATGGAGTTGATCATATTTATGAGATGCCAATTTAGGATAGAGCATATGAGATTGTCTGGTATTTTATTGGATTTGAGATGGTCCCAATTGAAAATTGATTTACTATTTATTTTTCTAATCATGAGCAATTGATTTAAACACATTCGATTTAGATCGAATTTCCATTTTATGATGAAAAATTGAAATTAATTTTTGGAGGAGACTTGAGTGTCAAACATAATCAATAACTTCACAATTCCTAAAATGAAAAATTATCATACTTTCCTGGATAAGTTCTCATTCTTAACTATTATTAAATATCTTCATAACAATATTGTATACTGTGATTTGTTTCATCTTGAGCAGTAACATAGATGGGTGTAGATGTGTACCGAGTTAAAATACTAAAATAAATGATTAAGTGATTTAAAAATAAGATGAATTTCTTTTTATTTCTTCAAAAACAAATTGCTAATAATTTTTATTATCATATTGGATAAAAATTGATGATATACACACTTTTGTAGACGAATTTGATTATTAATTAATAAAATTGACAGGAATTTTTAGGTTACATAAATGACAGATGATAATTTATCCCCTTTTACTCTAACTTATAATATATCTTTCATAGGAAATTAGATGAGATGATCATAGCTTCAAATAGTCACACTTTTCCCTCTATTAATATTGATTTTTCAAGTAATCCCTATCTAATCAAATAGACTTTTTTTATTTAATTGGCGATATTAAACTATGGCATTATTTATTTATTAAAAAATAAGAAACAAATATTTATATTTCAATAACTTTTTTTGAATTATATAAATAAGAAAAATTCGAAATTTATGAAGAAGTTAGACAAGTTAATTAGTTTAATTTAAATTGCTTTATGGAAATATTTTATAATCTCATTCAGATTATTTACAAATTTAGATTGCTGGCTTTTAATTATTGAACTGTCCTTAGGAGTTAGTGGAGTAACTAAATTTCATTCAACTTGCTAGGAATGCGATGGTACTACAAAAACTGATTGTTTATTCTGTTTTGAATCATCAATTTAAATTTAACTATTATAAGTCCAGACGAAGTCAATATGTAAAGTTGTAAGTATGGATATTTCGAATTTGACAATGCTTGTTTTCGAAGGTATTTTAGTATTTTTCTAAAATTAGTCCATCTACAAATATGGATAATGTTGTCACATGTCTTGAATGTTTATAGAATCTAAGGAATGGATGAATATGCTTTATTGACCTCATTATATTCACATGATGATGGAAATATATCTCAATATATATATGAGACAGATTTGTGTTATAAATTTGTGGGAAACGACTTAAATTATTATTTATGTGAGGATGAATGTTTACATTGCTAATTTTTTGAACACTTTAATTCCAATATCTAATAAATAACTAATCATCTGATAAATAAATGTTTATCATTGCCTAAATAACTTATTGTCTACCTCTTTATTTTCTTAACTTTGAAAAAATATGTACTCTATCCAATAAAGAATTTTGTTTATAATTTTTTAGTTATTTTGGTAATGATTAAACAAAAACATCTCTAAATCAAAAATTGGTTTCATATATAGTTTTGAAAAAGAATAATTTATTTATTAGAATCCTGCAATCTCAAATAGTTTGAGATCATATCTTACAGCAGAAGGTTAAGAAATTTTTACTGCCTCTTCAATAGATGATTTCAATATTGCTCCAGCAATTATAAATTGTTAAAAACACATTTTAAAATGCAAATAATATATTTAAAGTCCAGAATTGATAATTAAATATATAATTTGTGAAGATGGATATATGGCCTCTGCATATTCTGGAATTTGTACTGAATGCTCTTATCAGATTAATTCCAAAATATGTGTTGAATGGAATTAAAGGAATCTAGAACCTTGGAAATGGTTAATATAAGGTTTTAGAATTTAATTCTTAAAAATTACAAATTTTTATCAAGAATTAGTATCAATAGTACCAATGTCTTATGTTATCCAATGTTTAGATGGATACTAAATTATTCTGAATTGGTATTATTAATATTGTGTTGATAATTGTTAAGTGTGCTAGAATATGAAAATTGATTATTAAAAATAATTATGTTAAATATGTGAATAGAGATCTAATGATCAAATTGAAGTATTATTTTTATATAATCTAATCGAAAATAACCCCATGTTTTAAAATATTCAAAGAGAATTCCATTTACCCATTAAAATGTATTTAAAAAGTTCATTTACAAAAAGTTCCGATTGATCCAAATTTACAAATTGCTCATTATTCTATTAATGAGATTTGTGATAATATGGTTGAGTACAATGTACTTAATTTTTATAATTTAGGTTCATTTTTTTTGTAGAACTTTAGAATTTTTGTGTAAAATATCAATTCAGGCTTTTTAGAATAAAAGTTGAATTATAAGTATTTTAATGAAATTGGACTAAAGAGAATCACATTAATTCTTTTATTTAACACTATTTGTGAAAACTTGGAAGTAAAAAATTATAGTATTTTGAATTATATCAGAGAAAAAGTATTTTCCATTTAATAGATCAAATTAAGAATAGAGGAATAACTAAAACCTTTCCTATTAGTAATTTAATTTTAGATATTATATTTTGATTCTATTAAAATTAATTAAGTAAGGTTTCTTATAAGAACTTAATTAAAATTGATATTTAAAAATAGAGGATAATCTTTAGATTTTAATATTATTGATACAAGTTTTTATTCTGATCAATCAATTCCTATTCAAATACAAATTTATGGAGATAATTATCGAAATTTTAATTTATAAAATTTTTAATTTTTTGATGTGATAGTTTATGATGCTATCAATTTTTTAATTATGAGTTCTGATTTAGGAGATTATTAAGATATTTAATACAATAAACAAAACTAAATTACTTCAATTCAAATATTCATTTATAACTTAATTAATGTACATTAATAATTAATGAAGTACTAGATCCTATTTTAGAATTAGTATCAATCAATTAATTTTTTCAAGAAATCTTAGCTAATTCTAAAAAAAAGTGCTCCTGAATACATTTGAATAGCATCACAAATCAAACTTAATTGATAATTAGAAAAATTTAATTTATGAATAATAACTGTTAATATTGTTGGAATGGTTTATTAAATTTTGAATTGACATAAATTAATGTTATCAAACTTTCATAATTAAATACATTTTGAATTTCATAAAAAAACATGAAAGAATATCCTAGATAGATCAATAATAATTGATCATTCAAACTTTATTTCAAACCATGGAACTAAAGGAACAGGAGTATAAGTTTAAAATTTAGGGGTGATTTAAAAAATTTATAGATTTATTAATAATTTTGCTGATCAAAAAGGTGGAGGAATTTATCTTAATGTAAATTCAAATAGATTCCTTTTATATTAAACACTAATTTACTAGAATTAAGCATAAGTAGGAGAAGGTGTTTATCTAGAGGGTACAGCAGTTTGGATGTGGATAATTTTTAATAATCAATTATCTTATTAAATTCTGCGAATTTTTCTTCAAGTAATATTAATGAAATACCCTCACATTTGGCTATGTAGTCGAATTATCAGGAAATTCATTCTTAATAATAATAGATTGATATCACAAAATCATGTTGTAAGAACCAATTATTTAACTGTGCCTAGTGGTTAAACTCTATCTAATTATCAACTTTATAATCCTAAACTTTAACAATATATTTCATACTTTAATGAAATTTCTATAATTTTGAAAAATAGCATGAATGAAAAATAATCACTTCATTTAATAAACTCTTCATGCAATTTGATCTAAGAAATTTTGATATCAAATCCCATTCAATTTAAGATACTAATCATTTATAAAGTATTGCTTATGGTTTAAATACAAATAAGTATAATATGGGATCATCAAAATTAAATTTTGACCCATATTCATAGGATGATAAAATATATGAAATACTTACTGAATGTAAAACTGAATATTAGGATATTGCCTTATCCTATAGAATGAGAGTCAAAAGCTTTTTCTGTTAATTAGATGAATTTTACATATCTGGTAGTTGCTAAATATGCCAATCAGATAAAGGATTTAATTCAATGACTTACAATACGACAAAATGCCCTACTTTTGATAAAACAAAATTTTAGGCTATAACTTCTAATGGAATTTAACTCAAAACAGGTTATTGGAGACCAAATTATGTATCTAATTTTATTGAACGTTGCTATAAAAATGCTGATTAATGTTTAGGTGGTTGGTCTATTGGTGGCAATAGTGATTTGTGTGAGGAGTGTGATAAATTTGATCTAAGAGGAGATGGACAATACTTTAAGAACTAATATTATTTGGAATGTTAATAATTTTAAGAGCTTTCAAAAAGATTAATAGCTTTCTTTTTGATATTATTTTAGTAAACTCAATAAATAATAATATAAGGGCGATTTTATCAACTCTACTTACCATCCGAAGCATTGAAAAATCAAATTAATTATTTACATCGCTTAAATTAAAATAAAAATTTACCGATATTCTATTCAATCTTGATTAAGGTAAAAATAATCTAGTAACTTAGATCATGAAAGTATTTTACTTAAATTATTTTTAAATTACTTATGGATATTTTCATTTATTGTTAAATTTACATTAAATTTTCATTCTCTTTAAGCTTTATTAAATAATCTAATGATACTTCTTACTTTAAGGCTAATTATTTTGAGTGGTTTTTGTCTATAATAATGGTACTGAATTAATTTACAGCAGAATTATTGTAACTATATGATCAATAATATCTTAATTATTAATCATCTTTTTAATATTTAAACTATTTTCATTATTAACAAACCATAAATATCGAAGCATTATTATATCAATAACTATGCTATATTTATATATTTAAAATTACGCATCACTTATAAATTAGTAAAATTTATTTCTTAATATATTAGATTGTTTTCTATTTTAGCTGTGAGAAGGATTTCTTAAATAGACTATATTTAAGGAGATGTATCATTACTATATAGATCGAATTCTCACATTAAATGGATATTTGGATTTGTAGTACCCGGATCTATAATATTAGCATTTATATTACCTTTTTGTATGTTCAACTTTGTTCATTTTAAGAAGGGCAAAGTTAATAAAATTTAATATAGATGATAAATTGGGTATTTATTTAATGAATATACTGCAAAAACCTACTTTTGGGAATGGATTAAACTATGTAAGAAACCCATTTAAATTATAATACTGATTTATTTTGAAACTGATATATTTTTAAAAGCTTCATTATTAGGATTGTTTTTATTGATTTATTAATTCTTATCCTAACACTTTAAACCATACATCCTTCAAAGATTTAATATTTTGGATATATAGGCTGGCTAACTTTCCTGTGGTGCAATATTCCTAGCTGCTGTGAAATATATATGCGAATATTAAGAAAATTATTTAATATCAGGTGTCATTCAAACTATTATAATATTGATCAGCTTAATATTGAGCTATCCATTTGTTTAAAATATTCCAAAGGTTTATTACAAAAAGTTTAAACCACAAATTTTATCATCCTTGCTTTCCATATTCCTTGCCGCTCAACCTAATTCTAAATATATAAAATAATTATCAACAAATCTAACACTTATTCGATATCGAATTAAGTTTAAATATATAACTGTAAAAAGAAGAGAATGTTAAAAATAATTTTTCAAAATTAAGAAAAGCTTTTTTAAAAAAGAAGTATAATGAAAATTAAAAGTAAAGTTTTATCTTCTATTAGATTAAATAGCAGATTGACCAGCAATTCATCAAAAGAATAATAAGCTTTAATTAGAGTTTAATAGAAGACAGAAAATTGAATTTTTTAATTTATATCATTGTTGAATATATATATTATAAAATATTAATTAGAAATAATAGAATAATTTAAAAACTCATTTAAAAAATTCTAATAAATATTCATAATTGATGCATATAAACTCATGAATGTCTATATTTAATTATTAATCTTTAGTTCCAAATCAAAAAGCAAGACTTTCATGTGATTCAACAATATTAGATTGCTATCCATTTATCAAATGGATAAATATGATTTCTTTTAACTTAAATCTAAGTAGAAATCATGATTAAAATCAAGAAAAATCTTAACAAAGAAAAAAAAGAAAAGAAAAAACTTGTTATTAACTTACAGAATCTAAATCAAAGATATCAGGTGTTGATTTTCAATTTCTTTCAGTTTAAATTTAGGATGAGATATATTTAACTATTGATTTCTTATAGATGTATAATTTTTTCTCCTTTTTTTTTTGCTTTTAATACATCCTATTAGATAGAGATTTTTTCAATTCTTGAATTTTTTTGATACAAGATATTTGACCGATCATCGTATTTAATCATGTAAGCCAATGAAACTCTTGTCTTTTTGTTTTTAAAGATTCTCTATTCCTTCTCATTTTCTATCCATCTAAAAGATTAAAATTAAAAAGCTATTGAATAAACAATTATTTAAATTTAAGATATCAAAATATTTGTTAGATATATATTATAAATTTAATCTATTTATAATCTGTATATAATTGACTCAATCATCAATATTAATAAAAAAATCATTCTTCATTTAAGAGAAATATTAAGAAATTAAAACTAACTTTATCATTTGATAATATCTTATCTTAAGCTTTCTTTTTATGATTCATCATAATATAAATAAAATTTCAAATATAAAAAATATTTATACATAATTAATTTAAAGAATCCTATTATGTCGTCAAATTTTTAATCTATACAATTTAGTGATTCAGATTAAGATTATTAGAATTATGAGAGATCTCCTATAAAAAAGGTGAATAGTGGAAAAGAAAAAGAGTCTGGGCAAATAAATATGTAATTTAAATAAGATAATAAAATAGTGTTTCACCTAAAGTACAGGAGGCAAATCCAAAAGTACAGGAAGCAAATCCTAAAGTTCAAGATACTCTTACAGCTAAACAATATTATAATTTATAACCAAAGAATACAGAAACTCATCGAAGAATAAGCAGCTTATATTATCTAAGAAACTTTTAAAATTGGGTTAAAGCTGTTTTAATAAATGAATATAGTTCAGCACTTAAGCAAAACTTTGCTGATAAAGGAAATGTAATCTAAATAAACATAATAAAATTTATTAAATGTTTTCGAAATGGGTTGCGGTAAGGGTGGTGATATGTAAAAATGGAGCAAGGCAGGGACTGGACTTGGTTTGGAATCGATATATCAGGTAAAAGTTTGAAGGAAGCAGAGAGGAGACATAAAACTTAATAAGAAGATAAGAAAAAATAAATTTAAAAAATATATTTGATGGAAACAAAAGCAGATTCAGATTCTACTTTGTTTAGATCCAGATTACCTTAGGATTTATATTTTGACTTTGTGAGTATGTAAGTTATGGCGAACTTGTTATTTCTTCTGAATAAACTGTTGAAAATATGTTTGAAGTATTTTAAACATTTATTATTTCAAGAATATTGCATGTAGATTGACAAACTAAGGAATTGTATTAATGACAATAACTGATGCAAATGTTTTAGTTAGAAAAATGAGTGAATTTACAATAAAAGACTATGAAGGTAATTATGTATATTCAAAAAACCAATATTTCTCATTAAAATTTAAGAATCTTTAATTCCCTAAAAATAAACCATTTGGTTATTAATACTATTTTTATTTGGAAGATTCAGTTGGATTTAAAGAAGATAATTAAATTAAATATGTACCAGAATATTTAATCGAATTATAAGCATTTGAATAGAAGGCTAAAGAATATACTCTGGAAATCATTGAAAATTTGAATTTTATTGACTTCTTTGAAAAATATAAATAAAAACACTCTTATTTACTCAAAATTATGGTGAAACCTCCAAGTGATGATTGATATTCTTTAAATAAATTTTAAGGATAATGCCATTAGATTAATGGGAAATAGCGCACCTTTACAGAGTGGTAGTTTTGAGACATTTGAATGGTCAAGCATAATGGAAAATTAGAAGACATCCTCATTTAACTACTTTGCCTGATACTGTACTTGAATTAGAGAATGAATGATAATAATAAAAGAATCATAAACTTTAACTTATTTTCATCATCTACTTTTTTTTGAAAGGTTCTTAAGCAAGTCAGTTATTTCTTAAACTAGAGAAACCATAACAAATTTTTTATTAACCGAGAAAAGTTTATTAAAAAAAATATTAGCAATAAATTCTAAATCTTTCTTTAATTTTAGATTAATATCAAATTTATAATTTATTTATAAAAATATAATAAGATTAATTTAGTGTTAATCGAAATTACTTTTGAATGTATAATAACAAATTAATTATAAATCATTATCAAAATTAAAACCTTATAATATTTGTATTGTATATCCTTAGATTGCCATAAATACTCTTATCTAATTTTAAGTATTGTAATTATAAGACTTGAATATTTAAGTTATCAATAACAACAATTCAATATAGTTTTTATTTTCAATAAAATATTGATGAGTATTAAAAATATATTTATCATATATTTAAAAATTATTATTTAAATAGTTTAAACTACATCTATAAATATAGAATAAATATAATACAAAATTCGATTTCCATTTTAACTCCATTTAGGAATTTAATTATTTCTCTAATGAAAATTTAAATAAGAGACAATAAATATTAACAATTTAAATTTCCTTATCTAAGTTAAAAACTCCTCTTATTAAATGAAATTAATTTGATGAAAATAATTCCAATGAACAAAGGCTCTTTTAGAATATATTTTATCATATTTCTTTCCAAGAATTTCAAAGTAATAAAACAAATTTGCATCATTTGAAAGCAGTATACCTGTTCACTTTAATTCTGCAAGTTCTTATACATGATATGAGTTATTTTTCATTTAATTCTTAATTGATTGAATCATTGATAGATGCTAAAGGTCAATATGAAGGATAGAGCCCAGAAAATAATTTGTTATAATCAAACTTACTAAATCTTCTTAAGCCAATGTAAGAACTAATTAATTAGGATACTAAATTATTTAAGTGAGTATAATCAACATAATCCAAGCCAATCTGAGAATCTATAGAGTTATACATTGATTGATTATCCAACATTACAACAGTGTTACAATATTTAGAAGTCATACGATTAGCTAAAACAGCATTATATACATCCACAGTATACTTCAGCTTCTCCTATATAGAGATGAATAGAAGAACACATTATAATTAAAATTATTAATCTTATAAAAATAAAATTACTAAAATTTTTTGGCTCAACTGAATAAATTTTGACATTACACATAATAATCGACCACTCATTTTTCTAGATACATCAAAACTATTAAGAGTCTTTATATTGATTTCTTATACGAAACTTAATAACTTTTTAAATTTTAAATCAACTATAAAACATGAATTCTCTAATTTAAGTAAAGTTCTAGTAATTAATAACAGGAGAGACAAGCTATACAATTTTAAATAATTTTATTTATTATTATCCATAAAGAAGCAGATCAAGAATAAAATTTTGAAACCAATATTGACTTCTTACTATCTGATTTTATATCATTTTACAACAAATAAATACCATCCACAATAAGGACTTTAAGTATATGAAGTAAATTTAATCACTGTATTTCATCTGTTAGATATTATTAGTCAATATGATGTGTTCATAATTACTTGTAATGTGTGGTGATGGAAGATATCTTATTGCTTATGATATTTGTTCGAGCAAAAAATAAAAATTAGTATATGAAAGGAAAAATGATTATCTTATTTTCTGGAATTTTAATTATAATGAAATAAGCTTATGAGTATTCAAAGGAAATAAAAATCCACAGAAATTTTTCTTTAATGATTCCATACCCAATAATTTAAAATGATATCAAAATTTATTTTTCTTATCAATTAAATTGAATATAAAGTTTTTCATGAACCAAAGAATAAAGCATCTATTTATGATCCATATAATTTCTTTGCTCCAAGAGTGAAATATTATTTTGAACTTAAAGGGCCTGCTATAATAAAATTAATGGCACTTAATATTTTTCTCAGTCATTAAGGTGGATTAGCTCCTATAATAATATTTGTACTCATTTATATATACTTTTTTCCCATAAATTTTATTTTGTTACTTATTTAACTTTATATAGGGATTTTATTTTCATACACTTCATCAATCTATTAAAAATCTTTGAACAATTCAAGAGTTTCTGAAATTTACTGTTAGAATTTCCAAACTTTGTCTTTATTATTTCTCTATCAAAAAGATCCATTTGAAACGATATTAAAAATGAATATTTTGTACAATTAAAGATTTGTTTTTAATTTATCCTATTCTTTGATTATATTTAGTTAAGTTAAAAATATCTAATTAAATTCAAAGATAAAAATGTAACAATACTACTAGAACCTACACCAAGTAAAGAATAATCATAATCTTTTATTGAAGTTTATTCAAGAAAATTTATAATATATCTGTCAATGATTAATGAGGGAATCTTTAAAATTTATTAAAAGATTGAATTAGATAAAGATAGTAGAAATCAATTTGTTTTATCAAGAAAGAAAATAACTCTCTCCAAAAGAGTGTTTATGTTTCAACAATATGTTATCTTAATAGATTATATTTTTGTGAACTCTACAAAATATTTATCCAATATTAACCAAGTATACTTATTTTTTTATACATTCTTTATATAAATATAATTAAAAAAGCGTTTCTTATTTTTTAGCCCAAAAGATTTAGAATTAATTTAAATAGCTTTATTGAAATAAAGTATGATTTCTTAATTGTTATAAAATGATTTTAGGGAAATAGTTTATAATGAATTTTTTTTTAAATATAAATACCTATACTTGTTATTTATTCTTTGAATACTTATTTATTTAATAAGTCAACATATTTTGGATTAAGGAATATGTACTATTTAATAGATTAATTGCTTCCTCATATTAATCCTCTTCTTAATAAATGATGATTCTGATAACAAAATTTAAGAATGATGTGTGCCTTGAATTAATCATTCATTTGTTAGTATTTATTTAATTAAGAAAAATTTAATCAAATAAGGTTGTTTTATTTCCATCATTTTGATTTAATTAAAAATAATAATTGAATAACTTGAAATACATTATTTTAATAATAATCAAATTATTATTGATATAAAGTTAAGAACTTTATGATCCAAAATATAAAAATACAGATTAAAATTGTAAAGTAAATCTAAATCAAATTACTTTGATGATTTACTTTAGGTAATTCGATTGAATTAATATGAATCAATTTAAGTAACAATTATGAACATAATTTGTTTTTAAGATCAATTGAAATCATCTCACATTTCTAAATAAAATAAAGATTATAATTTTAATAACTTCTACTTCTTTAATCATAATATCTACTTAAAATAATATTTTTACAAACTAAACTAGAATTTAATTCAAAGTTTTGAATCTATAGGTGACAGAATTTCAGCAAACTTTCTTAAGACAAATCAAAATGTTTGTTGTTATTTTGTTAATATTTAATAATCTCAAAACTAGAAGAAATAATATGAACCTTTTTATACGATTTGACCAATTCTAAGAATATAATGAAAGCCAGTTCATAGAATTCCTAATTATTAGTAAATTGAATTTAAAGATATCTAAATTTTTGAAATTTTTAATTTCTATCAATAAAAACATTTGATAATATTTCTAATAATATCAAAAAGGCAAAATTTAATTATAATAAATCAAATGTTGAAAAAAATAAATGAAAAAAGCTTGTTTGTGATATAGAAAATAGAAAAATTTGGTCTTAAATAAGACTATCAAAATATCTATTTTCAAATTAGATCAAAATCTCCTCATTAATTTAAACAAATTTTCAATATATTGGCAATATATTTGCCTTTTTAAATTTCAATTAACTAAATCAAATTCAAATGAAAAATTATTAAAAAAAATTTTATTTAATATAAAAAGGAAAAAATGACTTATTTCCTTTGATTATTTCAGATTAAACTTGATCAAATAACGATTCTTAAATCAAACTATTACTTTAAGTTAAATTTTTTTAATTACTTTATTTAGGCAAATAAATAATACTTTTTCATTTCTTTAACAAACCCTTTTTGATTAGATTTTATTTAATACTTGGGCTTAGTGATCATATTTAATTTAAATTATTTAAACATTTTAGGCTAAGATTTAAGTTGTGTGGATGTACTTTAACGATAATATTGTTTTATATTTGAGAAAATCAAGAATAAAGCAAATTTTTGGAAGTTATCAAGTTTTGAGAAATATTTTTAGAACATGATTCCTTTTACAAAAAATATGAGAGAAATGATAAATAAGTAAACTATTTTAAAGAGCAATTTAGATAATTATTGGAATTAATCTCCTAAATTATAATTTCAAAATACAATATTCTATAATAGTAATTTTAAATATATTCAAAAATCTAAATTATCAAGAAAAAAAATCTCTTTTTGGTATGTTCAAGTCGTTACTTAGATAAATTCATAAAATTAATCTCTTGATTTCTAAATATAAGAACAACAACTAACAAAAGTGATTCGAAGATTTTAAAAAGACAGTAATAATAATCATGTATACCATTAGTAAAGAATTTAAGTTTTTTAAAGTTAACTAAGTAATAGATTTTGACCAAATTTTATTGATGTTCTAATCTAATTATTCATTTAAAATTTTATAATTAATTTTTTTGTTAAATTAAAAAAAGAATATTAATTTTATTTAATAGTTAATTTAATGATTCAAAAAAAAATAATTTAGGTTGATAGGCTCAAACTTCTTGAAGTATGAATTTAAAATATTAATATCTATCTCTTATTGAGCTTATAATAGAGTAATGTACATATTTAATTATAATATAAATTTTTGTTAATTTAATATTAACAATAAGAACAGATTTTTTTTGAGAATTAAAAATAATCTATTGAGAGATTAAAATTGATCTAATAATATGGATATTTTCAGTTGTTTTATCAGTTAATTAAATTTACATAATATTAATTAGTTTAATTAATTCAATTAAAATTATTGATACGATTATTTTTAATTAATCATAAGATATTTAATGAGTAGTTGATAAATTATAAATTAACAACATTTGAATTTATGGTTTAATAGTAAAAACTTTTATTGGTTTTAAAATTAATAATATTACCTAAACATGCTTTTAGAATACATTTGAAAAGAGTTGAAGTTAAGAAAAATAGATTTTTTTCAATACTGCATTTAAGACTATCATACTCAAACTTTAAAGGTTCTTATTGATTATTATCTAATATTCAATATATTGAATTCCTTTAAATAAATGTTAATTACAAATCCAATTATATTCATAAAAAATTTGAAGGTTTATACTTCATATAATTGAAGTATTTATTATAATTGAAAGAATCATCTGGAAAACAAATTCAAAACTATAGCATCTGAAAGCTTGATTCGATATAGTTTAGTTCTCATTATCTAAAATAATAATCTATCATAATAATAAAAGTTGATATTTTAGGGAGGTGAAAGCCATATGTTACTATTTTGATTAAGATTGGATATCAATTCTAGTTTAATCATTACTTCATACTTATCTGTTGTTTAAAAGAATGTGAATATATTTTAATTTAATAACAACTCTCTGTAATAAATTTACACATCTCTTTTAATCAAATAATAAGTTATTATTTATTGATAATTATTTGATATGCAATATAAAACTATATTATTCTTGCTTTATTAAAATTACTTCTTGAATTTATAATCAAAAATGTATGTAACTTTAGTACTCATTTAAAATCAATCAATTCCATCAAAATTCAGGAAAAGTAAATATTTTAATTTATTTTAGTATAATATTAATTGTCTTTTAATAATATGAAATTATAATATAATATTATTTTTTATAACAGTGTAATTTCTTTCTATAAAGGCATTATTCAAAGAGTTGGAAATTAATTTAATACCATATTAATAGAAGTCTCGTTAAATGAATAATCATATAACTTAAATACTATAAGAAGCTTAATTGATAATAAAAGGGTAAAAATACTTTGAGAAAAATTTGAAAAATCTATGAATTCAGTCTACAACTCAAAAAATATAAAGTTGACTGAAAAGCCAACTAATGTAATGAGCGTTGAATTTAATTAATTAAAATTGCATATCTAATTTTTAATTAATGTTGGATTATAAAAAATAGATTATGTATCCTTGGCCTATAATAGAATATAATGAGAAAGCTCTACAAAATCGAACAGACCTTCAAGTAATTCTCAAAGTTGATGATGATTTTATCACACATCAAAAGAATAAATATACCTTTAGGCATCAGACTGAATCCTCCTTAAAATTAATCTATCAGTTACAAAGTAATTATTAAACAATTTCTTTTAGCAAATTAGAATAAAAAAAAAATTTTTTATTCAATGATTTCTTACTAGTGATTTGAATAATACTCAAATTATAGCAGATATTAATAGCCTATTGAGAATTAACAACTATACAAATTAGAATAAATCATGAATATATTTTTATATAAATAAAAATAGATATGTTTATGTTTTTCTTTTTGTTCTCATTAAGGATAGTATTGTTAAATGCAGAAAATAAATTTGAAATTATATACACAGCTTTTAGTGAAGATAATTTCGATAAAGAAGGTAAATAAATTAATTATACTTTAGGATGGCATCTTCAAAACAGCTATAGCACAACTTTATTCAGAAAATGTGGTAATGAGACTGTGTTTGGAGGTTTTTCAGCTTTCTCTAATACATTAATTACTTACAATTCAAGTCTTCCTCCTCACTATTCGGCAAAAATTTCATTCAAATTTTGGAAGTATATAAAATCTTTTTATTTTAGAATTGATAGTTGGAATGAAAATGAATATGTTTATATTTACTTTGATGATAAATTATAAAAAAAAACATTTCCTGAGGAAAAAAATTATAGATTTTGTGGTCTTATTGATGCTGATGAAATTGTTATTTTTGATGCCTAATTAATTCATACCTCGAAAAATTTATTTATCATATTAACCTCAAATTTAAACTAGAATCCACAAAATGTAAGATAATGAAAAATTTAGGAATCATGGGGGATAAATGATTTTATAATTGAAATATTGTTATGCCCAAAAGGATGTGCATATTGTTAAGATGATATAATGCCATGTGACTTTTGGATTCATGTTAAATCATTTTGGCAAACTCCAAGTGAGTTCGAAGGATGGAAAATTGATGATAATAAAACACTCTCTTCAAGTGTATGTGCTGGTCTTAATATAGCTGGAGGATACTCTAACTTACGATTAAATTAAACAGTTTAAAATACAATCTTTAATTTATCTTCCCATTTTAATATTTAATTAGAATTCAAACTTTGATTGTTTGGCAATTGGAATGATGATTAATTTATTCTTAAGCTTGATGATTAGGAAATATTAAATCAACATTTAAATTAATCAGCCCATTATATAAATTGCGGAGGGTATTATTAATATGTTAGCTTCATAAATCTTAGAGCTTAAATGAATCATTCTTAATCATCAATGAAGATTACATTTACTACTTAATCAAATTCAACTTAAAATAAATATTGGGGAATTAATGCATTTGATTTATATATTGGAAAATGTTCAATTAATTGTGAATAATGTTACGGACCTGGTTATAAATAATGTACTGCTTGTATTAAAGATTGGGTAGTTTTTAAAGGAGAATGTATTTATTACAATTAAATTCCCCCTTTAACTTGGGAGCATATTAGCATAGTTTAATAACTAAATAATATTTCAGATAATATTTATTAAATATAATTAAAAAGTGATTAAATTGATTAAGAAACCCTAAAATTAGGTGAAAATGAAATCGAATTTGATTTAAATATGCCAATATTAAACTTAGAAATTCAAGCCTAATGTCTAAAAAATGTAAATATATACAACTCCTTTCAAATCTATATCAGATAAAATAATTAGAAGTAATATCTTTATACTTTTAGTTGTAAAGAAAATTTACCAACTATTATTATTAAGACACATTAAGTCTAAAAATTTGAATAAATTAAATAATTCTTACTTAATTTAACTGAAACAAGTGTTGAATTATATTAATTAGTAATAATAGAATATTAACAAACATAACTTTTAATTTTGAGCCTAAATTTCATATGGATTTGAACTTAATTTGAGTTTAATTCCAAATTTACAACCAATATTAATTAATTTTTAATACTATTTAATATAGAGCATTTCATAATTATTTTATAATTTTGTTAATATTTGAATTTATGAATTTATTTACTAATTGATCATGCAATCAATATATATTTAAAAAGGATAATTAAATAATTTTTTCATTAATTTACATAGACTTAATTTAATAATAATAATAATTTTATATTAAATAGACTTTAAGGCGAAATCTTATGCTTGAAATCAGAAACAGCCTACTATTTCTGATTTGATGTTTTTTTAATTCAATTAACTCATTAATTATAATCATAAAGTTATAAGTAATTTAAATAATTTGATATTAACCCAAAAATAAATCAAATTAGCTTTTTTGTGAGAGAAGTAAATAGAAAGCATAATAGGGTAAAAAATTTGAATCATAGAATTATTATTTGAATTCATTCATTTCTATCTATATAAATTAATTGTTTAAATTATCTTTGGTGTTAATTTTAAGAATCCGATCAATACTTATTAAAACAATGTTATATATTATCTTATTAAATATTCAAAAAGAAAAAATTAAATTTACTCTCGTAAAATGTAATATAAAACATTTTCAATACTGAGTATTTGAAAAGTTCTAAGGTATTATTCCAATTATTTAATAATCTCTTATTAACCCCCTAATCTTTCTAAAAGGATTAGGACTTATATAATAATAATAAGAACTAATTTTAATTAAAAAGATAGACGAACTTTGTGAACTATTTATATTAAATAAACTGAATATAATTAAAATATTTTCCCATACTTATTTTTACAAGATAAATTGTAATCATTTTAGAAACATAAATTAATGGAGTTCTTTTATAATCAGAATAATTCAATCAAAATTTATTAATTTAATAAACTTCACTTAGTTATCATTTAAATATTTTATTTGAAAATATATTGTTAGCTTAATAAATAAAATTGATTAATAAATTAAGTTAATTTCGTAATCATTATTTTTTAATCAGTTATTTTAATAAATTATAATTATTATATAGAAGTATATTACTTTAATGAAAAAAAAAATATCATATAATAATTTATAATTAATAAATTTGTATCTTACGGTTAAATATATGTTTATTTTCCTTACTAAAAAAGATAAAAAAAGGAAAAAAAATACATTAAACCTCCTGTTCACATTCTTTATAACAATCATCTTTAAAAGTGTTAACAATATTGTTGAATAAACCAAATTGCTTTGCATAAATACATATATCTTTAATAAATGATATACAATAATATGCAAATTGGATCTAGAAAATGTGTTTTTTTTGAATATTGTAACCTATAACGTCTATTGTTCTCTAAGTACATTTAATAAGGTTAAAAATTCTTTAATTAGATTCACTAGAATCTGGAATGACTTAAATTTAAAGTTTCATTTACCACTTTATACTAATTAATATCACCTCTGCAAATTGAAGCATAAGCTATGAATAATTCTAATAAATATAAGCATTTTAATGTTAAAATAAATCTTACATTCAAATATGTATTTGTAGATTAAAAACTAAGAAATTATTTTTTCCATAAAATAGAATTTAAAACTTCAAAACAATATTTTTTCTGATGAGGCTTTGAGTAAATTATTAATTCAATATTCTTTATAAATAAGTCATAAAAAACAGACAAGATAATGTTGATTCCCAAGGTTACATCAATAATAATCATTTCATATTTTGTAAATTGATAATGAATTAATATTACTTCAGAAAAATTCTGAAATAATTATCGATTTCCAAGATGATTGATTTATAAAAATTAGATTGCTTTGAATAGAGTTCTTATTCAAAAGATTGTTTTAATTTACTATAATAATAAATTATTTCATTATCTTTTTCAAGATTGATTAAAATTTATTGTTAAAAAGAGGAAAACATTCATATCGTTGCTTTTTAAACAGTTAACTATAAAATTTAACATGCAATACAATTGGAGATTAGGCAAGAATTAAATATTTATTTTTTATTTCATATCTTCTGATGACTTTTATTTCCTCCCTAATCTACATTCAATATTATTGACATTTGCTAACCTTCAATTTTATATTCATAATTTCTCTTTCATTTTTTAAAATTTATATTAAAAATAATATTTTGACTTTGTTTTTATTTTAAGAACAATAATATTAATAGTTATATAAATCATTTGTTTCTAAAAAGTTTATTAACTAAGAATTTATATATGAGTTGTTAAAGGATAAATATTTTAAAAGTATATAATTGATTGTTTAAATGTCTTGAATCTAAAGAATGTATTAAGTAGTAAAATAATAATAACATTCCATATTATTATGGTTTGAAAATATTACATAATATATACTAATTGTATATTATGAATAAATTAATATTAAAATTACTTTAATGATCTCTTACGTCGTTGGATTGGTATAATATAATAATTAAAGTCCTTATTACCCGGCAATTAGAATAAAAAATAATGAGTTGTAGATTAGAGCGATGAATGATGAAAATAAATTCGAAGTGATATCCTGCAGGTTAGATTTACCAGATTTAGCTATATAGTGGTGTTATAATTAGTTAAAAAATAATTATTTTTTAGGTTTAATGATTTCATTAATGGGTTTAAAGTTTTTAGAAAGTAATCTAGAATTATTGTAGTTGGATAAGAATACAATGAATTGAGATGTTTTTAGTAGTATATAAAAAATAAAATTCCCTTTACTAACAATTGGTAAGATATGTATGATTTTATTGCTGAATAACCACCATTCTTTGAGATAAATGTATAAAGTGTATTTTGATTATGATTAGAGTTTTCTTGTGAAGGATAGAATTACAAAATAAAAATAATTATTGAAGAGAATTTATGAGAAAATATAAGTGCCTGGTGATGAATTTAAGATTTAAGTCTTTCTCAAAAAGAATCCTCATCCTAATATACTTTAATATAATTCTCATTATGTTGAGGATAGGAAATAATTTATTTCTTTGGATTATTATAAATAAGGAACTTTGAAAAATATTTTTAATAAATTTAGGAATCATATCCCATTGAACATAGTAAGGAAAATTATGGAATAATTATTAAATGGTAAAATATTTTTATATACACTTCAGGTTTGGATCATCTTCATTCTAATGGAATTATGCATAGAGATATTTAACCAGAAAATATTATAGTTACTAATTTTGATGAGATTTAAATTAAGATTGCTAATTTTACTCTTTCTGTTTTTGGTGAATAGTTTACTAGATTTTGTGGAAAAAAATGTTATGCGGCACCTGAAGTTGTTAATCATTTTATTCATACAAATAAGTGTGATATTTATAGTGCAGGAGTAGTATTTTATGAATTGTTGAATTGTAAACAGATTTAGAGACATTTTGATCCTTAAATTGCTTGCATTGAATTAAAAAAATAAGGATTAAATGAATAAGCAGTAGATTTAGTCACATAAATGTTAGACATTGATCCAATCAGGAGATTAAATATAGATGATTGCTTAAGTCACAAATTTTTTACTGATGAAGAATCCTAAGTCTCAAATTAGTAATATATATAATTATGATTTAGTAAGTATCTATTAAATAAGAATTAAGTGAACCCCAAGCTATCTTAAATTTATAATTGTTGATTAAAAATGAATTATTGAGTACATAAATTAATTAAATTAAAATTTTTCTTAAATATAACCAAACTATAAAAAATTAATTATGGAATATTCTTAGAAATCCTTATGTATTTAAAAAATATAAAAATAGGATTTTCTAATTATTTTAATAACTATTTCTTTATTTGTATTTTTAAGAACAACCATAATATTATTATAAAGATTATAAACTTCAGCAACCAAGAGTATCTATTTATATTAGGGAAATATATTTGGTGTTAAAAAGTGTATAAATTTATAGATATTACTACAGTTAATAATTTCTTATTTCTTCTTATAATCTATCTATAGATTTTATTTTAAATGAGAGAATTCTATTTATTTGATGTAAAAATGAAACTTTTATTTTTAATCAACTACAACCTATATTTAGTATATCATAAATTATGGTTCTATTGTAGGGTGAATATCTTATTACTCTCTCATAAAATTATTTTTTTATTTCCTTTTTATCAATTAATTATGATATCATCCTTCCTGTTTAGAAAGATAATGTTAATTATTATTATTTAAACCATTTTTGGGGATTGATTGATATTCATAAAATGGCTCAATTATATTAAAATAATATATTTAATATTTAATTCTCTTATTTGTATTTACAAATAACAAAGGTCTGCTATTAATTTATACTTCAATTTTAATAAAGATCTAATTATTTTACAAAATTAATAATGAACTTCTAACCAAATACAATAATTTCTCTAGCAATTACATATTAATTAAATTGTTTATATAATAATTTTTTTAATTAATATAAAATTAAATAAATGGGAGGAATATCAATGAGATACATTATCTAAAAAGTTTAAGAATATAATTTAATTTCTACTCAAAATATATAATCAATTTAGATTGATAAAAAATCCTCTATGTTATTATTATAGATTTAGAATCAAAATATTAATAAGATACAATTGTTCTAATTTAAAGAAGGCTTAATTAAATTTATTTCAGATCTTAACATTAAATTTGAAGTCAAATGTATTAATTTTAAAATTTAAACTAAATTCTTTATTTTCATTTTGAATGAATAAAATTAAGGAATATTCATTAAATCATTAGATTAACTTAATAGTTGTAAATACTTAATGAAATTAAAGAATCCTAATTCTAATTAAACAATATATTAATGTTTATAAATGAATCATAAAGAAGATCTTATTATTTCTGGAGGAATCAATCATATAACTATTTGGGAATATAATAGTATATGGAAAATTAAATAGATTATCACAGTTGAAGGGCATGTTCATTCAATTAACTTAAATCCCTCTGAGAAAATATTCATTAGTGTAGTATAACCCTCTTATCGTTATTTTATTCATATATATGAATTCTCAATATAAATTATATGGAGTCAGAAACAATGTATTGAAGTTGGCTTTAATATTAGAGAAAATATCTGTTTTCTATAAGATGATATATTTATTGCAAATACAATAGGATTAAAGATTGTAGATATTTTATTTGAGTATTAGAATGATGTTATAGAATTTTATAAGTAAAACAAAAATGGATTATTTTAAAAGCAAAAATAATAATACACTGGAAAAGAATGGATTTAAACATCTAATTTTTATAATAATCAATATTCTACAAGTAGAAAATTAATATTTTGTTAATTCTAATCTATAATTGCAGGTTATAGTCATAAATGCATTAAATTCATCAAGATTCAAGATCAAGCAAAATTTACCATAATTCAAACAATAAAGTTTGATGAGAAATTTAAAAATTTAGAATTAACTTAAGATTTAAAATATATTATTATAACAATAGGAAATCTAATAAAGATATTTGAATTTAAATAAATATAATGAAATTATACATAATTTATATCATTTAATTCTGTATTTTAAGATTTCATCTTTTGTTGAGTAATACAATCATTTTATAATTAAATTCTTGATTTAATATTATCTCTGAATTTTTGAAATAATACAAAAGAATAAAAGAAAATGAATCATCATTTTGAAATCTTTAAGATTTAATCAAGGAATATGTTTTTTAATTTTTAAAGGATTAAATTTTGCATTTGATTAATCAACTACCATATATTAAATGCATTTTCAGTTCCAATCCCATTATCTTTTATTTCATAATTTTAAATGTATTGTATCTTTTTTCATTAAATCATTAATGATGATGAGTTTCAGTTAAGTTTTAATTTATTTTATATTGATAATGATCTTGAACTTCCAAAATCTTTAGACTGATTAATTAAATCATTTGAAATCCATAAACAATTATTTCAAAGCGATAAATTTATTTAATTTGAAGAGATCTTATTACTTTATTTTTTATATTTTACTAATTTGGATTGTCTTTTTTTTTAAAATTCCAGATAAATTTAATTATTATAAACTTTTATTCATAAATATTAATACTCAAAATCATTCTAATTAAATAATAAATAAATAATTTACAAAAAAGAAGGTTTTTGCAAAATCAAATTAATCTCAATGAGTCAATATATTTTCCTATTGATTTATTGTTATTGTTAAATCATTGAGTTTTCGATTATCAGTTTCCAAAATATAAACATCTATTCAAACTTCAAAACGAATTTTTTGTATTTTTCAATCCTCATAGGAATATATTCGCTTTCAAATACTATCCTTCTTTTTAGTATTTGTTCTTTAGAATATTGATATTTAAATGATTCCTTTTTTATTACTATTATTTAAGATTAACTTGATTATTAAATAGAAGAAATGCAAATCTTATAAATTTAGTATTCTCATATTAAACTAATAATGTATTAATCAATATTTAATTTAAAGTTTATTATATTTCAGTAAACACTGCCTCCATACCATCTCAATCGAACTGGTAAGCACATATTGTCCTTAAGCTAGAGCTATTCTAGTGTTAAGTTGTAATGATAAGGTTTTTAGATACAATTATAAATGAAAAAATCACAAGTAGCTGCATCTCTAATGATAAAAAAAATTAATACTTTGGTACTCCTAAATATTAAAGCACTTCATCTTGTAATTTAAATAATAAAGTAGATTTATGGTATATTGATGAGAAAAGTCTTTTGTTATTTCCATCTAATATTTAAAATAAAATCCGCAAATGATCTTTTAATTATTCTTAGTTTTTGTCATTTTTATTTGGAATTGAATTTTATTAATTTGAGTCTATTTTTTACTATTCCTTATTACTCTATTAATCTTTATTGTTGAATTATTATTATGTAGTTGTAATCTGTTGATTATTAATTGATTATTAATATTGAATTATATTGTTGTTATATACTGTTTATTATGAGAATTGTTATTAATTTTCATTGGTTTGCATTCCAGTTTGACTATTTGAAATAGGTTAAGTATTGATGATTAACCTATTATTTTCGACAATTCTTATTTAACTGTTTAGATCTAAATACTTGCATTCTAATTCAGAATAACATGTCCAATGTTTTGCATCATTATTAATTCTATTTTGGTAACATAACAATACTTCAAAAAGGTCTTTATGTATTCAAATAATTCCTTAATTGAAATAGATTATTCAACTTCTAAATCTAAATTTTGATTATATGGCTGAACGATAGTTTTGATAGTATTTTGCATTATAAATTATATAATAATTATATATTATCAAATTTATATTCTATTTCATTTTAAATGATAAATTATTGATTCTATTTAAAACATATAACATGTTTATATTATTAAAGGGAAATAAGAAAATTCAGTATGAAAACAATATTTATTAGAAATGAAAATTTGAAAACTTTACAAAAAATAATGATGTCATTATTGGCTTCTACATTAAATTTATTACAGTATTATTATTAAGAATAAGTGATCCATTTCAAGAATGATAATTTTTATATTTTAATAGTGTGGCAAACAATATGGAGTATATTGAAATATCAAAAATTAAAAATCTCTTAAAATTGAAGATAATCAAAATATGGAATAGTTACCAAAATATTAGTTATAACTGATTTTTTTTTTTGAAGTAAAAATGTTTATTTTGAATTACCATTTATTAGTTATGGATATCTATTAATTATATTTAAAAATATTGATTTTTCTAATAACAATAGATGAAATTTTAATATATTTTGATTGTAATGTGAAATAAGGAATATTGGAATTTCTAATTAATTTTAGGATTTGATTAAATTATTTATTATCAAACCAAATGATCTATATAATTTATTCAAGTTAATTTAATTGATAGGATGAACTAATTTTATTTATCCAACCATCAAAACCCTTGTCGCTAAATTAAATATAAATAGATTTATTACTCAATTGAATTTTCAATCTCTATATTTAATTTTCTTGATGAAAAAGTTTTTAGATATTAAAGTACTATTTGGTGTTTTAACAATTTTTGTTCATATAAATTCCTAAATATTTTATAAGAATTTCATCATTTCATTAGTGCTTTATAAAGATTAAAATATTTAAGATAAGAGTTCAGAAAAAAATTCAATTTTCTAAAGAAAGATTGTTACAATTAAATGCAATGCAATTAAATTAAGCTTTAAATTAAATAATTCAATTGGATAGATTTATTAAAGGAATTAAAGAATTGTTCAGATAATATGGTCAATTAATTAAAACTACAAATTAAAGATTTGAAACNCTAAATACTTGCATTCTAATTCAGAATAACATGTCCAATGTTTTGCATCATTATTAATTCTATTTTGGTAACATAACAATACTTCAAAAAGGTCTTTATGTATTCAAATAATTCCTTAATTGAAATAGATTATTCAACTTCTAAATCTAAATTTTGATTATATGGCTGAACGATAGTTTTGATAGTATTTTGCATTATAAATTATATAATAATTATATATTATCAAATTTATATTCTATTTCATTTTAAATGATAAATTATTGATTCTATTTAAAACATATAACATGTTTATATTATTAAAGGGAAATAAGAAAATTCAGTATGAAAACAATATTTATTAGAAATGAAAATTTGAAAACTTTACAAAAAATA